GGAAGAAAAAACACCTGGACCCGAGAATTGGCGTTTACGAAACGGCTTTGGGCGTTTACTAAACAGCCCTGCCCTGCTCCTCTCCTTCTCTGGGCGCGTTTGCTGAACGCCTTCGCGTGTCGGGGTGGTTGTGATGGGGGTGGATTGTTTTGACCTCTACTGTATGAGGACATGCCCGACCGAAAGCCAGCAGACCCGTTTGGGTTCTTATAGAACATTTCTGGGTTCTGAGAGCATGTCGTGGTAGGCCTACAGAAGTGCCGGGACGGTCGGTCCCTCCTCAGGGGGTGATGACTAGGAGGGGGTGGATATCATGGCGGGGGCAATGATACCTCCCCGGATTGCATGGCGCCTCCTCCTGTTTCAATGCGTTCCCCGGCCCCCCCCGGGTCCGCCCATGCCTCGGGCCATGACTTGTGCACCCCTCTCTTGGACGCCCTCCTCTTGGCCCCCCCCCCCGAGTGTGGCGGGGGGAGGGCGACCAGCGGGCTCCCCAGGTGAGCCACGCGCCAACAGAAAGCGGGGTCGTCGTTGCCGACCTTGGCGCGCCAGCTGCCCGCGTAGGGTCGCGCGTGCACGCCCTCGTCTTCAATGCAGCGTGTCGCGCTGGCGGCCCGCGAAATCTGCGGCGTAAGGCCGCTGTGTCATCTCGCGTACTCCAGATTTCGTAATAAAAGGGAGTGGGGTCTCATTTCGGGGGGGGGGTCTCTTCCAGGCTATCTTGGAGGGCCTGGGGGGGTCTGGGGGCGATGTTTTGGAGGGTTCTCCCACGGGGGAGTTCTGAAATGTCTTGTCTTGGAGGGTCCAGACCCCCTCCCTTTTATTACGAGATCTGGAGTAACTAAGACCCGTCTCTGATCGTAGCTCCACTGGGGCCGCAGCCGCACGCATGTCAGGTCGGTGCACGGCCTGTTCGTGCGGCGATGGCGCGCTAGCCACGCCAGCGAAGGCGTTCCAGGGTGAGCTCCGCACGACAGACCGGCGCGGAAGCATCGATGGACAAGACCCGACAGAATTCAACCTTGCACCATCGGGGCCGCGATTGGTTCAATGTTGAACGATCAACGTGTGTCAAAAATCTTTGCGCGCGCCGACGCCGCACGAACCTACGGTACACATTCAGTCCACTTCGGTCTCCTTGTTGGAGCTACGTGTAGTTCCACACGTGGAGCTACATGAAGCCAGTCGTCGCAGTCTTGCCGCGTGCGTGGATGCTCGCAGGTAGGTGTGTTGCCTGTTGTGCTGCTGGCGTCGAACGGGCGATACCAGGCTCGTGTGTGTTGTGTTAAGAACTATCTGCGCAGATCCACTGTTCCCTAGCCCTCCTGTGGTGGGTGCTCGTTTTGAACAGAGCGCCGTGGTCTCCGACACTCGCTCCCTCCTCGCCCCCCCTTCTCCTTCTCCTGCCTCTCTCCTCCTCTTGCCTCCTGCCCTCTGCTCTCTCTCTCTCTCCTCCTCCTCCTCTTCCTCCTCCTCCTCATCCTCCTCCTCCTCCTCCTCCTGCATCCTGCCTCCCCCTCCTCTTCCTCCTCCTCCTCCTCCTCCTCCTCATGCATCCTGCCTCCTCCTCCATCTCCTCCTCCCCCTCCTCCTGCATCCCGCCTCCTCCTCCTCCTCCTCCTCCTCCTCCTCCTCCTCCTCCTCCTGCTCCCAACTGTCGCAGCTGGCAGTGCTTCTTCTGGGAGGCCCCTGCGGAGCGGGGGATCTGTGCAGGCCCTGCCGAGACCTCGGGTTTCCCCTACGTTATTAGGGGATGGCGACGCGCGCCACGGATGCCACCTTCGTGAGCTCCTGGGAGGTCCCGCGGAGCGGAGTTGGTCGGGCAGAAGGGGGGGGGCACGATCGGTCTGTCGGAATATGCAGACGGGGGCCACGGGGCGGAGGGGTGCGGGGGGGGGAGCAGGGGAACGGGAAGGCACGGTCGGGCAAGCGGGAGGCACGGCCGGAATAATCAGACGGGGGCCACTGGGCAGAAGGGTAGATCCAGCCGAGGCTTCGCGGTTTCCTGGGGGGCTGCGAGGTGCGCCACGGTTGACACCTTCCTGGTCTCTTGGGAGGTCCCGCAGAGCGGAGTTGTTCCACCACCACTAACAGTGGTGGGAGAGGGGAGAGGAAAAGGATCTATGCCTCCTATATGGGGTCCGAGTAGATGGGGTCGGAGGATCGCGCCGCATCGCCGATGCATCGACGATGGGGCTCGATGTGGAGACCGATTTTCCCCACGCCGACGTCGCGGATGCGTCGCCGACGTCGCTGATGCATCGCCGATGCATCGCCAATACATCGGCGATGCATTGGCGATGCGGCGCGATCCTTCGACCCCATCTACTCGGACCCCATCTAGGAGGCCTCTAAAAGAGTAGGAGGAGGAGAGCGGGATGATCTTCCCATCCTCTTCTCTTCCCCGTCCGGCATATGGTAGTGGTGATGGAAAACTGGCCCATCAGTGCGCAGATCCAGCCGAGGCCTGGCGGCTTCCTGGGGGGCTGCGAGGTGCGCCACGGTCGCCACCTTCGTGAGCTCCTGGGAGGTCCCGCGGGGCGGAGCTGTATGCAGATCCAGCCGAGGCCTCGCGGCTTCCTGGGGGGCTGCGAGGCGCGCCACGGTCGCCACCCTCGTGGTCTCTTGGGACGTCCCGCGGGGTCGGCAGTCACGCAGATCCAGACGAGGCCTCGCGGCTCGGTCCAGCGGAGTCGGCAGTCACGCAGATCCCTTGAAGACCTCGCGGCTCGGTCCAGCGAAGTCGGCAGTCACGCAGATCCCGTCGAGACCTCGCGGCTCCCTGGGGGGACTGACAATTGCGCCTTTTGGGGCTCTTGTTGGGAGTGTTGGGGTCCTCGTGGGTCTCTTTTGTAAGGTCTTGGGGCTCTCTAGGGACCCTCTTGCAGCCCTCTTGGGATCCCTTGGGAGTCCTGGCGGGGCTCTTGGGGCCATCCTGGAGGCCAACGTTCAAACGGGGGGGTCCTCGGTTTGTCTCTTCCGCTGGGGCCATCACCATCGCCTCTTGGGGCCCTCTTGGGGCGCTCTTAGGCCGCTCTTGGGCATTCTTGGGGCCGTCTGAAGGGCCTCTTTTGGGCTTATGTTGGGCCTTTCTTGGGCCATCTTGGGGCCATTTTGATGCCCCAGCAGGACATCGGACGCGAAACGGCGAGACATCAAAACTCATTGATTTCTTTGGGTATGTTGGCCCACTGGGGGGGGATCCTGAGGGAGCTCCGAGAGCACTCGGAACCGTCTTGTAGCCCTCGTCGGGCCGCCTCTTAGAGGTATGTCGGAAGCTATCTTGAATAATCGTCGGCTATCTTGGGCCATCTTGGGGGCCATCTTGAAACCATCTTGGGTGACCAAGGGCCCTCTACCAACTCGCGGCCCCCGCCAAACAACATCAGGGACAGGAGGGGGAGGGTACCCCCTCTCCGAAGGGAGGAGGGCTTTGTAAGAGGAGCAGAAGCAAGGGAGGATCCCCCCCCCCGACTGGACAACTGGCGCTTGCTAAATGGCCCTGGGCGTTTTCTAGACAGCCCTGGACTGTTTTATTGCTTCTTTGGGTGCGTTTACCAAACGGCTTCGCGTGCCGGGGTGGTTATTATCGGGGTGTATTTTCTGCCCTCTACAAAAGAACTCGTTAGACCACCTTAGCCCCAAGGGCTGGCGGGAAGATGCGGTACGCTTTCCTCCTCGTCGCCGTCCTCTTCTTCCTCCTTCTCCTCCTCGTCGCCGTCGTCATTCTTCCTGTTCTCTCTCCCCCCCTCTCTGGTCGTTCATTCTGCGTCCCGCTTCCTCCTCCTGATTCTCCTCCTTCACGAGATCTTCGCGGAAGAGGGTGTGTGGATGATTGATCACCTCGCAAGGGCAACAAGTCCCGAGCAGTGCGCACCACGGCCGTGACGACGACCATGTCGAAGATGACGGCGACGGCTGATGGCCAAACGGAAACGGTTGAGCGGTGATGAGGCTTACCCCCCGAGGAAGGGCCCTTCCGGAGCAGCAGCTATGAATTTCGAGTTTGCACCTGCATGCTAAGGTGATTCTGACGGGAAGAATTACTACAGGAGGAAGCACGGACATGATGACGGGCTGGATTTTTTCGGGGGCTTGGAGGGCCCGTACATGCTTCGGGATGACTGGACTCCGGTGGTATGTTCGCAAATTGTCTGACTTGGTCCTACGATTTGCTCCGCAAGTATCTTGTGGTGTTGGGTCCTCGTTTTGAACCCGCAACGCCCTGTGTCACTCCTCCGCCTCACCTCCTCCCCCTCCCTCCTGCCTTTGCTTTCCGCATGCGCATTTCGGCACACCCCTCACACGTTTCGTGGCCCCATCGGGAGTTCCCCCGAGGGCCCTAGTGGGCTAGGCCACATGCGGTCCTTCCGCCTATTCCGACACACCCATCACACGTTTGAAGGCTTGATAGGGAGCTCCACCGAACGCCCTAGTGGGCTAGACCATATGCGGTCCTTCCGTCCACTTCGGCGCCCCCTTCACTCGTTTCGTGGCCCTATAGAGTGCGCCATTTGTTGCCATCTTTTTCCTCACATGAAACGGCCTGCCAGTGCTTCGATCGGTGGGGTCGGATGGTATGGCCTAGGAGTTTTGTTGTGGACACCTTGTGCGGTCCTTTGAGGGGATTTCCGTACGTGTGATTAATGTTGTCCCCTTAAGGGCTCTCCATTTTTTAGCAGACAACAAGGTCTGTACGTACCATATCAGCTTCCGTCGTCTGATCGGATCCCGCGAGTTTTCCTCAGTGTGTGGTCAGACTGCACGGTCCTGTAAGGATGGCTTTGTTGTTGGTCAGATGTTAGGGTGTCTACGATTCCATCCAGGCTGCACACAAACACAGTTTGATGTACACTTGCTGGCATCTTGTTCGGTAGGTTATAATGTTCCGAATCGTTGCATGTACTGTCGGCACAGATGAGGAGGATGCAGATAGCATGGAGGGAGAGGGTCTGATTTTCCGCGCTCCTTCCCCTCCCCCTCTCCACTCCTCTCCTCGTCCAAGGGATTTCAAGTATTCTCGGTGTGTGTGTGCGTGTGTGTCCTTATCTGCCTATCAAAGAGCGCGCATCCCGATCCGAACCCTTTTGGCTCCTGCCATTGGGCTAAGGGTGTCGGGCGCAACTTCAGCTTGCAGTCAGTGTCGCCGCACGTGTGTAGCTGCAAATAGACATCGTACGTGCGGTCATTGATGAAAAGGCCAGTGGCTACCCTACCACAGCAAGCTGGTGGAGTCGAAACAATCATTGCCAATGCAGTCCGCGCAGAGGCACACGCAACCGATTTCTGGAAGTCAGTGCTATCGTTTCCAGGTTTGGCTACTGACCTGGAGTCTTGGTTGATAGAGCAGGCGCGCACACGCACCGGACTGTCGGAGCACATCAAGCAGCGTGCGCGCGAATGTGCCCATGAAGCTCCCGTCGCCAAACGGCCTCGATTGCGAAAGCCGCGTGAGCAATGCCAGTCGATTGGCGAGTGCGCGCATGGCCTGCAGTGGCTTGCGCCGGCGTGGCAGGCTATTGCTGTTTTCTTGCCCCTGCAGCAGCGGATCGGATTGAGGACTTGGTGTCGCTCGGCTAAGTCTTTGAAGTTCAGCAGCGAAGCATGGAACCCAATGTTCCTGGACCGATCAATGTGTGCACTGTTCTTGAGGCGCACACAGAATCAACCCCATCGCAGTGTTCGCAGTTACTTCCCACCTGGGTTTTTCAACGTTCGCGTTTTGAGCGTGGACTTGATGGAGCCAGATGACTTCAGTTCAGAGTCAGGAAGTTCAGAGTCGGAGGATGGAAATGCCGAGGCCGATCGCATTCATTCTCCGATGATCAATGCCATAGAAGTTGTGTTAGATCTGTTCAAGTCTTTGCAGCAACCTACGATCACAAACATAAAGCTCTTCGATATGGAGTGCGACCTGTTCGTGGAACCTCGCATTCACACGCGATTCCGACGGCAAGAAGTGACCCTCGCCAGTGGAGCGGGTGAGCCCACAGGACGATTTTGGGCTTCCAACATTGCGGATCCAGTGGTCGTGGACGTTGGCGTCGCTGTGCGCGCGAACGCGGAGCGGTCGCCGTTGGGTTCCCCAGCGGCCTCCCAGCTGACACGAGCGGAGGCTCTTCTCCTCGCGGAGTTCCCTTTCTTGTATAAGCACTCGCGTGGGGATTGGTTCCAGAAGCGCATACAAGATGAGGACGAGATGGAGCGTGATGAGCGTTTTGTCTCTGGGTCCAACGCCCGCAAGATGTACAAGAAGAGGATGCAGTGGATTGATCAAGGTTGCCGGGCACCCCAGGAGAGCGACATTGATGACGAGGGTCTGACAGCAGGGGGATCGACATCCGATACAGGCATGTACCAGCCATAAGTTGACTTTCATCGCTGGGCGTGCTAGGTTGCTGGCTCACTCCTCAAAGACAGAGCAAGTTTTCAGTAGGCTTATGCCGCATCCGCCGACTCCTCGTTTAGTCCGATCACTCGTGGTCCTTGCTTAATGCAGGGGGGCATCTTGAGCCTCTTCCTACTTCTCTGCGCTGGCGTCTCCATGCGATGCCTGCACGGGGTCGCATTGAGAGATACGTGGGGTTGTGTTTTCTGAGCCTCTCAGAGATGTTTCCTGGTCTTCTCTGAAGACTGTTTGAAGCCGCTCGTGTGTCTTCGGGGTCGCTTTGGTTTTGCATACGGGGCTGCCTGATGCATTGGGTGTCAGGAGCTTCGGTGCCCGACGACACCCATGAATTCTTTGGACCCTGACCCCGCCGATCTGCGTGAGGGGTGTCAATGTTTACCCATCCCAGCATTTCAGAGCACACGCTCAGGGGATGGTGAAAAATTCCGTTTTGGGCCTCCCCCCCTCGCGCGGTCCATCAACAAGGAACAGTAAGCAGCAAGAAGCAGAAGTGTAAAAAGGAACAGTAAGCAGCAAGAAGCAGAACTGTAACAGTGGAAACTGGAAGCTGCAACTGGTACAGGACACTGCGAACCTTAGGCCTACGGCCTGGTGGCCACAGAAGGGGGCAGGCGGATTTTTGCTTCTTGTGTGGTGCGGGATGGGATGTACATTTTTTTGTATTCGTGTTGCGTCTACGGTTAAAACGTGAACCGTTTTGGCGTGGTGCCCCTTTGTTTTGATTGCGCCAACATCGCAGAGCGGATGCCATTCGGAAGACGATCGGATGGGCCTGGAGTGTGCTGGAGAATATCGCTCCGGATTTCAAGGTGAATTTCGTGGCGATTCTTTTGGCCAGGAATGAAGACTAAACAAACTTCACGCGAAAGTCACGTTTTTCCCAAACGCCGTTTCGGGGTATTGCAACGGCAGTAATCCACGCAACAAATCCGCTGCAGCACGTCGGCAAGGTCGGTGCAGCGAGTGGCTGTTTGAAGCGCCATGGCAGGGTCAAACCGCTGAGGAGCAACCCTGCCCACTCCGCTGGAAGGTGCGGAAAGTTCGGCCCACGCCGCTCCCCGCTGCCCACCCAGGAGGAGAAGAGGCAGAGGAAAGGAGGAGGAAGCGGAGGAGGAGGAGGAAGCGGAGGAGGAGGAGGAGGAGGAGGAGGAGGAGGAGGAAGAGGAGGAGGAGGGGGAGGAGGAGGAGGAGGAGGAGGAGAGGAGAGGAGGTAAAGCAGAAGGGGGACGCATGAGAGGAGGAGGAGGAGGAGGAGGAGGAGGAGCAGGAGGAGGAAGCGGGGGAGGAGGAGGAGAGGAGGAGGAGGAGAGCCAAACGGAGGAAAGGAGGAGGAAGCGGAGGGGAGGAGGAGAAGGAGGAGGAGGAGGTAAAGGCGGAACAGGATCAGGAGCAGGAGCCACCACCAGTGCACGTTTCGGGATTGGAATCACCAGAGGTGCAGGAGGAGGATGCACACTTGGAGAAGAAGAAGACGAAGGAGGAGAACGCTCATGATGTGTGGCTGCACGGGGGGAGTAGGATGAGAAGTGGGGAGATCAGGAGGAAGAGGAAGAGGAGGCGGAGGAGGAGGAGGATCAGACGAGGGGGAGGAGGAGGAAATGGAGGAGGAGGAGGAGGACCACTTGGGGAGGAGGTAGAGCGGCGGACGGTGAGGAGGTCGAGGAGGACGAGGATGAGGAGGAGGCGGAGGAGGAGGGTGTTCACAGTGCTTGCAGGTTCGCAAGCACGTGATTGAGAGCGAACGTGGATTACAACTCAGATGGGTCCTTTTCGTCGGCACTGTAGGGCTCTGGTCACCCTGAACGTAGCCTCGACCCTTTCGAGCGTTGTGCTAAACAGCTGCAACGGAGTTTGTACGACATAGCTTTCGGGCAAGAGGCGGGAGTGTTTGGAAGTGTTTGCATGTCATGCTCAAGTGGGTGCTCAGTTGTTTTGCATTGTTCAGGGGCGTGGGGGCATTCTGTAGCATGGTCGATGTCCTGGTGTATTGCGCGGGCCCCGAACAGTGCGATCTTGAACGGTGGATGTACAAGCTATGTGGTATACCTTATCGAATGCAGTACACGTGCTGCAAGCTATACGGTGCAAGCTGCGTGCTGCAGGCTACGTGGCCCAAAGTATGTGGTGCACGCCATGTGCTGCAAGCTTCGTGGCGTACTCTTTGCTCTGCAGCCTACGTGGTGCAAGCTGTGTGCTGCAAGTCAGGTGGTGCAAGCTGTGTGGTACAAGCTGTGTTGTGCAGTCTGCGTGGTGCCAGCAGGCAGCACGCTGAAAGTCATGGGGCGCAGGCAATGTGGTGTAACATTACGTGATGTGGGGCAGGCCACGAGGCGCCGAGGAAGCGCTCACGGACACCCATCGGGAGACACGCCGACACACCCCCAAACACACACACACACACACGAGGCGCCCACCGGGTCCCACTAGGCTTAAGTCGGGCATGTCCCTCTACAGGAGGAATATTCAAAACTAGTCAAATCATAGTATGGGGACGATATTTCGCGACTTTTGTTTGACTATGTTCGAGTATGTCCGAACTCCGCCTGTGGGAGGACATGCCCGACCGAACATTGGGCGAACCCTGTCATTCACCCGTTCAGTTACTGTGATAACCAAGCAACAACCCCTTGATGCAAGCGCTGCTTCGGGACACTGTTCTTCCAGGGGCCTTGACCAGAAGCGCCGGCTGGTGCAACATTGGGAGCTCCTTTTCAACATTGGGATCTTGCCTGGGACGTTCACGAACTGTATGACCAGTGTAGAGTAACTTGTGAACGATCGCTGAGATGGAACGCGGCTCCTTTCCTCGACCCTCGATCCAGGCCCCGACCATCGATTTTCAATCCCTCCTCCGTCCTCCCTTCTCGATCATCCCTCCCTCCTCGATCCTCGATCCCTCCTCCCCGGCCCTCATCCCCCTCCGCCGGAGTCCTCAATTCCTCCTCCTCGATCAACCTGCTCCAGCAAGTGTCCTGATCCTCGACCCCTGCTCCATCCCCCTCGGACCTCCAAGACGTCTGGCGCCGTGCTCTCTTCCGCAGCGCGGCTCCCGGGAGGCCTGGGCCCCTTCCTGGGGGCCGGCTCCCTGTCCCGAGTCGTGCTCTGACGGTCGTGGAGCCACGGGAGGCCCCCGAAGGTCGAGCTCTGCACGGGATTTCCTGTCGGTGTGTCTGCCGCGACGCGAGGACGTCAGTGGCTCCCTCTCCGCCGACGGCCTCGACCCCGCCTTCCGTCCCTCCTCGATCCTGCTGCTGCTCCGGCGAGAGCCTCGATCTTCGATCCCTCCTCCTGCGATTCTCGTCAGCATCAACTTTCAGAGGGCGGCGCGGATTTCTTGGATTGCTGGGTAGTCGGAGGCCAGACTGTCAGATTGGACTGGGCCCCAAGGGCCAATCTGGCCCGGCCAAACTGGATGATTTGGGTTATTCGCCAGACTGGATTCGCGTTGGCTCCCTCGCCAGATTGCCCCCGTTTGCCAGATTGGGCCTGCCAGATTGGCGCCAGATTGGCTTCGACTACCCAGGATTGGCGTGTCTAAAAAAAAAAACAGGCTCTGGGGCCTCTTCACGGCGCCGCCTCTGGCGCGCTCCTGGCACCAGGCAGGAGGGTCTGGCGCCGATCCAGGCAGTCCGCGCGGACCTCTGAATTCCTGTGCTTGTGCGGTTGTTTGTTCCTCGATCCCCCCTCCCTCCTCGATCATCGACTCCTCGTTTCGATTCCTCGTTCCCTTGTTGAATTGGCGCCGGGGTTGCTAGGGAGATAGGGGGTTCATCAGTGGATGGCAACGTCGGTCATATCTGGCCTAATCTAGCTTATAAGTGCGTTACACGTGCCACTAGCGGCTCAGGGGGTTTGATGATCTGGGCTTAGTGGGCTCCGCCCACTTAGCGGAGTTACCTCACCCCCTATCCCCTTAGCACCCCCCGCGCTGGTCCGAGTCCCCTCTCGATTTCCCCCTCGATCCTCCTTCCTGGATCCCACCTCGATCCTCCTTCCTCGATCCCTCCCTCCCCGATGCTCGATTCCTCGATCTCTCCTCGATCCTCGATTTCTCCCTCCTGGATCCTCCATTCTTCGATCCCTCCTCCCCCGGCACCTTCGACTCCTCGGTCCTCGATTCCTCGATTCTTCGGTCCCTAGATCCTCGATCCCTCGTTCCCGCTTCCGATCCCCTCCTCTTTTCTCGACATTCTCGATTTCTCCCCCCTCGATTCCTCTATCACGGGGTCCTTGATTCCTGCATCCCTCGATCCCTCGACTCCTCGACTCCTCGATTCCTCGATCACTCCCTCTTCGATCCCTCGACTCCCTCGATCCCTCGACCCCTCCCTCCTCGGCCCCTCGATCCCTCCCGCCGAGAGGACTTGCGCCAGGCCAGCAAGCGCGTGCGCGTCGAGCCCCTCGGCGGCGCCGAGGCGCCGCCCTCGCCGCCGCCGGCCGCCCAGGCCTGCCGGGCCGCCCCTGCTGGAGGGGAGGCCTCCACGTCTCGGGCAGTGCCGCCAGGGCCCCAGTTCGGGCGGGGCCTCGAGCTCGAGCTCGGACGCTTCCTCCTGGCCGAAGCGCTCCTCCTCCTCCTCCTCCTCGCTCCCCCCTCCTCCCCCCCCTCCTCCTCCTCCTCCTCCTGCTCCTCCTCCTCCTCCTCCTCCTCCTCCTCCTCCTCCTCCTTCCGTAGCCATTTTGGCTCAAGATGGCACGCCATTGCGAGCCCAGTGTGGATACCGCTAGTCCGCGGCCAGTCCCAACAATCTTGCAGCCACACCCAGGGACGAGTTGCCGACCACTCCTGCGTTACAACCCGGCGATGCATGCCGCCTTTCATATTGATGTGTGCCTCGTGAGATTCGGTCCGAGCGCCCACATCGTCTCGCACACCGTGCCGAGCATCCGTATTCCCGCATCGAGCCCCGTGCCGTGCATCCATACCGCTTCATCGTGTGCCTCTCCGCCCCGGCCCAGAAGAGTCAGTCAAGTACGCAGTGGTCTCGCAGAGGGCTTGGCCGGTGGCGAACCGTCGAACAGCATCGTTGCCTGTGCTACGGCATCATGCCTGCCGCTGCCTTCGACAGGGACGACCTCTCCAACGGCTCCACGTCTCGCAGCCGCCGAGACGACCGACGCCATCGCCGAGAAGAGCCGTGCCGCGACGAACGTCGTCATGAGCACCGCCAGCATCGCAGAGAAGAGTCCCGCAGAGAGGGCCGACGTGCTGCTCGCGAACTCCCCGAAGACAACGGTCATATTGGATTTGACACGCAAGGACCCACAGGTGCCCCCCAACCGCATCCCCGTGCTGCAGGGCGGAGTAAGGCACGCCTACCACCAAACGCAGGACAGCCAGATCGGGAGGAAGTGCAGCGCCCGAAACCCCCGCCGTGGCCATTGAAGCGGACACGAAGGCTCCACCTGGTCATGCTAATCTCTCTTGTACATCAGGTACCACCGATCCATGGACCAACCCTCGTTTTGTCGAACAACAGCGGGGCCCCGCAGCTGCCGCACAGCTCGCACGTGACATCGACCTGGCGCCCACCTTTGCATCTCAACCCGACGCTGTACCAGCCACTCCAGCCGTTGGCCACGCTACTCCTGGATCCGAACACCCACATCATCCACAACCAGAACGAATTGGACCACTTCCTGGGATACCCGAAGATCCAGACGTCGCTCTACGTAAACTCATGCAGCGCCAAGTCGCTACTGCCGCCTCCCGCTTTCAAGCACAAGCTGATCAGCTTCTCGCTGAATTTCGTGAACGTTTCCGTCATCCCGTACAGCAGCAAGTTTCCGCTACTGAGCGCCGAGTCGATGTACTTTGGGACGAAGTTGCCCGTACTCGCAGAGAACAAGACCGCCAAGCTGCTGAACACCAGCGCATGTGGGAACACACATACCAGATGCGCGACACCTTGGCCCTCGCCGAAGCGCAGACACCGATCACGGACCTCAGCCGCCTCGCCGAATGGGACCGCCAGCCTGATCCTGCCCCCTTCTCCGTGGGCTGCCAGCGTCTCATCGCGCCGAACGTTTTGCTCAACGACCCCCAGGAATGGATCGCAGAAGCCAATCTGCAATCGAACCACGTGGAGCTACTGGGAGATGGCGAACCTTCGCGACGCTTTGTTCTTCAAGTCAAAGGAGACTGCGCAGTCGCAGTGCCCCGAGCCATGGCTCTCTCGCGCGCGATGTGCAACGCCGCAGGGCAATGGAAGCGTTTGTCTTCTACCGATATCACGGGCCAGCCAGTCGACATCTGCATCAATCCTGACAAGTCCCTCGAGCAGATCGGAACTGAAGCCCCGACCAAGAAGTTCCTGCAACGTCTGCAGCACCGCTGTCCCCAGCATCGTTGGAGAGCCTTCCGCGCCAAAGGAGAGATACACTGCGACTCCATGCCCATCGTCAAAATCACTTTCTGCGGCCAGAACGACCCCTCCATCCTCCACTGGAACGAGCAAGCCTTCGACCATCAACAGTGCCAGTCCCTCGACCGTGGCAGCTTTCTCACTTCATTCCAGGCGCTCCTCGCTGACACAGCGGCTGCTACGTGGTTTTCCTAACCGCCGCTGGGCTCCCTGGCGGTTTGACGCCGCCGCGGAGCCGACTACTATCGCCACCTGGAACGCTCGAGCTCTCACGTGCTACAAGGGCAGGCGCCGACGTCGTAAACAATCTGCCCTCACCAAGTTCATGAAGCGCAGGTGCGTGATCGCGCTCCAGGAGGTCCGCGGCTATGAGGCTCTGCTCCGCACCTGGGTCGACACGCAGCCGTGCCCCTACAGGGTCTACTTCTCGGCGTTCCCTAGCGCCGACGGCGACAACACCGCAGGATGAGTCGCCACGCTTGTTCCGTGGCTTTCGCCGATGGAGCTTGAACAGCTCCAGCCGCATCCCCGCTCTTCGATCGCGTCGAATTTGTCCATGGACGTGCCCAGCAGCCATGGTTATCATGAATGTACAC